TGTAAAGCACCTTGGGGGGTTCCAGGACTCTAGAAAGCGCTATATCAAATACAGGCCATTTACCATATTAAACACCATGTTTCCTTCTACAGGAGCCCGTGAGGACAAAATGCATATACTGATTTGTAGCAAACGGTTACAAAACTTTCGCCATTCATAAACGTTTTTTACACATTTGCCTTTTCACTCGTTGTCGGTGATGAAAGGGAGTCTGGTGTATTTTGCGACCCTAAAGGCCATCTATTGGTAAGGTCTTACTCAAACGCAAAAATACTGCTCCTTTGCAATGAGCGGTACGTTCTGCCCCGTATTGCTAGGAAAAATACAGATCATCACTTTAAATAGACTAAATATAATGGACCAGTAAGTAAAGTTTCCTTTGTAATACAGTTCAATTAAAGGCTATGCCTACATTAGCTACAGCATGTGCCTATGTATCACCAGTGCCTAACCTAAGAACTCTGACTAATCGAGGTGTAAACACAAAACATTTGTGGACATCCTGGAGTTTATCCTACTCATACTAGGTCCCTTACAAGATGGATAGCTGTGATATAAATCAGCTTTAGAGTAGGTTTGTTTTTAAAATACGGCAGCAGATTCATCAGATCCTGTCTGGGGAGTTCAGCAGCCAGATGAAAATGTAACGGTGTACTCTGATACAATTTTAAGAAGTTTTAGGAAAAGCCTCTTCAATCCTGACAGACAAGACAGGCGCTGCAGAAACATGTTGTTCAGAATCTTTATGTAGATGGAAAGTGTCCAACTAACTACCGTGTTGGTACCAATGTGTTTGTTTTCTCAACAGTGTTGTTATAAGATGAGTTGTGTTACTATTGTGACTTGCCTGTGGTCATAATGTTATGGTTCATCCATATAGTAGGGGTTGCATGACTTAATTTTTTTTAAAGTCGACTGTCTACGACTAGTCGTTGATGACGTCATACACCTGAAGCCGGGGGGGGGGGGGGGGGGGGGGGGGGCTTGACAATTAAAATTGCGCCCACATTTTGTAAGTTAAACACGTCTCTTTTACCAACTGTAGTTTCTGCATCTTCCTTCAGCCCCCACCACCCCACCCCCCCACCCACCCAACCCCCCGCGCAGCGCCAGCAAACTCACTGATGCGCCTGCAGCCTCTCGGAGTTCCTGCTGCTCTAAACATTAAAAGAATCCTTTCATTTTCTGTTCCTCACTTCTGATTACCTTCAGTGGTGTCTGTTTGTTGCAACCACCAGGTACAAAAACTAACTTGTTTTTATTTGACTATTTTTCTGTCCTGCCTGTTTATTATCTTCCTGCATCCCCTCTCAATCCTAAAGAAAAACTGCTACCTGGCTTCATATATATTCACCTCATGAGTTACCTTTGAACTGCAGTTCTAAAAGATCTACCGACCGCAAAAACAGCGGAGTACGAGCTGCTCGCCGGCCGCATCAGTGATCAGTGTGTCGGAGGACAAGGTGATGCGCGCAGCGCCCCTCTCCACAGCATGCAGCGAAACGCATCAGGCGCAAATAAAAGACAGAAAACATTAAAGGAAATGAACTGACACGAACGATTGCGTGTTAAATTAGTTTTTGAGGTGGCAACACCTGATTTGATAATGTTACTGTGGCCGTGCTCAAGACTCATATGTCTGGAGCGCGTCAACAATCAGAGCTTTGCATGCGCAAGCTGGTTAAGGTTAGGATGGGGGTGAGGGGAAGGTTAAATTGCAAGAGGGTAAAGGTCACAATTCCGTCAAATGTCCGTTTTACGGCGGGCGTCAGATACCGACGCTCTGGCACAGCGCGTCACCTCAACGCACAGGGGCTTCTCACCTGCTGCCTTTTCCAAGAACTGCATCTTGTCGGTCATTATCACGTGACAGCGACTAGTCGATGAAAGGCATAAAAAGTCACTATAGAGCAATGAAGTCGACTAGACGACTAGTTGATACAACCCCTACCTGGGAGTATATTACAACTTTTAATTAGTGGCTTTGTTGAAGCACAACAACATGTTCTTTAAGCTAACTGCTTCATGTGCATCTAAAGAATGCTCTGCGGAAGTTTAAATAGGACAGGTTTTACACATGAAGTGTGTGCAACTCTTTAAAAGATAAAAATGGGTCAGTGTTTGTTTATTTTTCTTGCAATTAAAGTATCCTTTTTTGCTCCTACCAGTGAATGGTTGAACTAATAGCTTCCTATCAAAATAAATGTATGTATCTGAACATATTCAATATATCAACAGAATTCATAATACTGTGCTATAAAAGTAAAAACAGACCACTTAGTAAAGAATAAATGAGGTGTGTAAGTAAAATTTATTTTTAGGTAAGCAAATGGCAAAAGAGAGCAAAGAAAATATTGACACACAGCCAGCCTCATTTTTGTTGTTTGGCGTTTATGACCCGTGTTCCTTCCTGGATCATAAACACCGACCAACAGAAATACAAAAGATGTATTAAGGAAGCCATAGAAATAAGGAGACATGGACCCAGAGCCATGAACAGAGGCAATGGGGTCTACACATTGGATCACGCATGGGACTGTGTAAGTGGGCAGCAGAGGGCGACGGAACGACGCCACCAACAGCAGCGAAGCTCTGAGGTAGACTACAGTGTTGGTCGAAACGTTAGCTAAATCAAGGAAAAAAACAACTCTTTTGCTGTGTTAAGTAACACAGTTGGATGAAACGCACAGAATGAATGTACAAAAGATGTTCTCCTAGTTTATTGTTTTATATTTGGTTTTCTTGCATGCCACATAAAAATACGCACATGAGCTCAAACATATGTTGGTGATGGTTTCTGTAACTTATGAAACCAAAAAGAAAAAGCAGCAAATCAAACCTAGGTCACATGATTTGTTGACTTTGTGACATAGTTCTCTGAAGATGTTAGGTTCATAAACGCTGACCCTTGAGATGTTCTTTATATTTTATTCACTACAATATATTTTAGAACTCCACTTGAAAATGATCATTTAATTTTTATAATTTATTCATTTCAATTATTGTATTTAATAAAAAATTAACTCAAATCTAACTTATTGTTTATGTCTTACATAAAAAAGATAGATCTTGGTATTTTTATTGAAGAGCTGAATCTCAGAGGTAAACAGAAGTATGAATTTAGGCTCGTTTCCACTATTAGAACTTCCCGTCATGCGCTTGTCTCCATTTTACCAGGTCAGCCCAAAACTAAGTTCCTGAACTTGAGGCATGTACTCAGAAATGCCCAGCAGAGTCGCTGGGTGGGACTTGTGGTTAAGTCATGCTGGCTGGTTGTAGGAAATGTTATCGTCACACGTCGCCGAACCACCAGCATTGTCTATGTCACGTCCATCTACTTCCGGGACATGGGTCCCCGGAAGAACGAAAAAATGAATGCAAATCAATGGGGCTAAAAACACTATTTTCTAATTCCACTTGTTATATTCCATGGATTTCACATATGATGTCTGTGAATTTTAAAGGCACAATTTGATCCCAAGAATGCGCTTATTTTCAAACGGAGGGGGAACGATATTTTAGGTTTTGTGTGAAAATGAGTCCAAGACTACAAATGCGCTTCACGAAAGTGATGTCATCGAACCAGACACGGAGAAAACAGAGGGAAAATGGCTGTGAATTCCGCAAACTTCAAATCCTTCCCACATGAAGAAAAATCTGGCCATTTAAGTAGCAGCTAAGCTAGGGGAGAGGAGATTCTGTGGTGATGTCACATACATGACGTGCCGATGTCTGGTTTGTAGTCATGCTAAATGACTGGCATGGTTGAAACATCCATCATTACTTTTCCATTTAAATCCCAGTACAACATCTGTGTTATCCAGGGTCTAAGGCAAAGCGGATTAGAAAATAGCGTTTTTAGCCTCAATAACTTGCATTCATTTTTTCGTTCTTCCGGGGACCGATGAGCCGACCAGAAAGGGAGGAGACTTAGGCTCCCTATAGGGCCTTCGAAAGTTCTACAAACCCCTAAGGTGTGTCACAACACACCCAGTCATTCACCCACACACACACACACACACACACACACACACACACACACACACACACACACACACACACACACACACACACACACACACACACACACACACACACACACACACACACACACACACATTCACACGCTGGTGGTGATGAGCTACAACGTAGCCACAGCTGCCTAGGGGCAAGCTGACAAAGTCGAGGCTGCCAAACACTGGCACCACCGGTCCCTCCAACTAGCACCAGCAGGCAATACTGATATAAAATCATTGTTTCTAAACTCCCAATGCAGAAGAAATGAAGCAGAAATCCCTCCATGATGCTGTAACTTAGGCTGTTTTGCGGTGTCCTTCAGGACTCTGTAAAAAGCGCTGATTATTCAGGTCAAGGAATTGATCAAATTAAAGTGTGTCTTGAGAGAACAAAACTTTTATAGTTTTTAATGTTTATTAATGGATGTTTTTAGCACTCATCAGTGACACTCATTTCCGTAACAGTCATAATAAGCTGATGTCTTGGCAACATCCTGAAAGGGCAGATTTTGTAAGGAGACAGCTGAGAGAACCAAGCAAGTGTATTATTCCTGTCACCGCCCCCTCCCAGAAACTTTCTGGGACTCCTATGGTGGAAACACAGCTTTTGATTCAGTCCTCAAGTTGCAATCATGCTACATGAGCAATCAGATGACTTGTCAGCTGTTTCTGTGTCTCCAGTATCAACAGTGAGCTTGTGGGCATGAAAGCCTAAACACACACTCAAGATGTCCTGAAAACAAATCCATTGCCGTTTGGGTTCCTTGTAAAAATCTGTGCTTTCTTCCTCAAAGTGTGTCCATTTAACCACAAAAGGAATGCTTTCAAGCCTCACATACTAGTCATAACAAGAAGTATGTACTGGTCTATTAATATTTTATGAAAAGCTACAAATGGCAGTGATTCAAAGGACACAAGGACATGTTAGGGCCTTTTAAAGGCCATAATATTGCCAAAAAGAAACATATCTAAGTGCCTGCTTACCTGATGGTGATCCTTACAGACTGAGTTGGAACTGCACAAACTGTTGACGCAGTCATCAATGTCTTGCTCACATCTCAGCCCAGCATAACCAGGACTGCAAAGGCAGTAAAAACCATCTACAACTGGAAAAGAAAAATTAGTTGCAGCACCTGGCATCATAAAAATAATTTAGATCTCTGTGGGTTCTGGGTCTCTACAAAGGTAAGTGCTGATTATGGGCATAAAACACAATCACCCTTGTGACTCCATGTTTTTAATGGATGTGACCTTTAAAGAGACATCTTCTTTAGGAACAGTAAAGCCTGGTTATACTCTAGCCATCCTCAAATGTACTTCTCAGCAGTCCTTTCTGTCGATTGATAAAAGCTTCAACATCTCATCTGTTACACCAAGGAATTAGTCGAGCAAGCTATTCTATAAATGTAAATATATAATCTGACCAAGGGCTGCTCGATTACGGCAAAAATGATAATCATGAATATTTTGGCTGAAACTGAGATGTTGATTACTTAAGATGATCTTTAAATTATTGTTGATTTTATTTTATTTATTTATTTATTTGGTCATAAAATTGCACAGGGCACAATCAGGACAGAAAGAAAGGAAAAAGAAGCAAGATAAACACAAAAACAACTTAGGATTCCTAGTATAAAAAGGCCAATGCACTTGCTTCAGCAGTGAATGATGTCACTGATCAGCACCCTAAACCGTCCCATTAATAATATGGTTATTTGGGCGAAGTACAACATAATTTAATTCCTTTGCAAGACCAGTAGAGTTGCTATGTGATGTTAAATGTAGAGTTCAATGACGAGAATGCCCCGTTTTTAGGGTGCTATGTGAGACAAAGTCCAGTGAATTAAGTAGTTGTAGCAGTAATTCCGCTGCATATTTCGGTGTAGAGAGTTTACCAACGATGATTTTAAAACAGCATGAACGGTGCTTGTTTGCTTGTGCTTCCATTCAACTTCACCAACAACTCTTTATAATTTTACCAATGCCGGTTGTTTTGGACGACATCTGCTGATGAATTTTCCTACTGAATTACGTATGAAACAACCAAAAGTTCCACTCAGCGATTCACTGGGCCTTTCCAAGTTCCTACCACTGTTCCGGTACTCTATTGGTTCCAAATGGCCAAGTAAACGGCCCGTTAAGCTGGATCAGTGAAGTGGAGGCGTGCATAGCAGGAAGTTCTGGTAAAATTACCCTGAAGTTCCGATGTTAAAAAGACACCTATAGAGCACTCTGATTGGTAAGACATAAAACTGCTCAGGCCAACGACCTGCTGAGGCTACAATGGAGTTTGGCTGGACTGACCAGCTGAGCAAAATCTTTTGACACTGCTACGGTCGTTCTAGATTTCTAGGCTAACAAAGAATACCAAAAAGTGGAAGATGTAGATCAATAGAAGGAGGCGGTTGTGAATCTTTCCTCTTTACAGATGCTATAAATGGGCGGCTTTTCCCATTGAAATTAAGATTCTCCTTTGTCTAATAATCCATTCCTTCCCCTCTTTAATTATTAATGATGTTAAAGAGGGATGCATCATTCTGTTTCTCCTACACAACACTGGTACAGGCAGCCAGTGACAGAGGTAATTGCACTTCTTACAGGAGTAAATTTATTACTTCCCCAGTCAGGGTCCCAGGATTCTTCATTATCCCAAAGATTTACCACGTAATCTATGCTGTCACTCTGTCTTTTTGCGTGTAGATGCTATTACTCTCATTAAATGCTTTAAGCCCTGGGTGGCAGCAGCATTACTCATCTCAGCCACTGTGGCTACGCAGTGTTGTCCCTGATGGCTGTTTGGCTGGCCGTTGCTTAGCACTGGCCAACAGGTCCTGGAGGCCCGGCTCTCTGACCTAACGTGACCTGGCTAGGCTCAGGATTGGTCAATCCAGCTGGCTATAGTCTCAAAAGAACAGGTGGCGAGTCTTAGACAGTAATCCACTTCCCATCACTGTTATATCACAGCACGAAAAAGGTGAAACATCAGCAGGGCTTCAGAAAAAATTGAGGTAAGAGATACAAAAGACTCAAATACACATCTCCTAAACATGCAGCACTGAGTAAGTAGTGTGATTATAATTGTAATGACCAAAACAAAATACAAATGTTGCCAGTTTTTTCTTAATTTTAGATAAATCAGCTCAAGCACGCTGCAGTGATTGACCAATGGGAAACAATTCCTAATTCCTATTATAGAGTTTGAGTTTTTATCCTTCTATTATTTTTGATTAATGAGCATTTAAATGAAATTTGCTTGAGGTGAACTATATTGGAGAAAATTTGATTAGTGTTACAGATCATGTCATTTATCATTGTTTATAGTGCAACATTTACGCTTTACTGATTTCCTTTATCAGTCACATTATGAAGCTAATCATGTGTGTTCCATCAAGTAGAGCTGGATTGAAGACAAAACACTCATCTAGCAACAAGGACCACAGATGCAGTGATTTTATACCATTAATGGACCAAAAACATGAAAGTAGCAGAAATAAGCTAGGGCAAAAGCAAAGAAGCTGACCTGTTTATGGTACAGGTAGCAGAGAAGATGTTTAACTGCTGACAAAGACATTTAGAGGGAAGCCGTTTTTAAAGACCAGATTTTGACTGAATGGCAAGTAAATAATATGTATTTATATCACATTTTTCACAGAAAGGACCACAAAGTGCTTCACAAACAATAAAAAGGGAGAAACACACAACTACATCCATAAAGACATAAAACCAGAAAAACACACTCCTATAAAACATAGCAAGGTATCACAAAATACAATTTTTTTAATCAAAAGCCTGTGTAAATAAATGTGCTGTCAGCTGATGTGAGTGCAAGGACAGGGGTAAGTGAACCCATACTAAACCCAGACGGTATATTAGGGTTGCATTGATGCCATCAGACATTTTGGCTTTTGATATTTAGAAATTAAACACAAAGAGCCTTTTAAGCACATTAATAAAGCACCGACTGTTCTTTTGTTGAACTAAACCACTTAAGCCGTTATTTTGATCAAATTAGACAATAGTCCTGAAATTTTTCTTTTTCTTTTGAATTTTGACATTTTAATTAACTAGGAATTTTTAAATATCTAGGATAAATACAATAGTTTATCTCTCACTAAATAGAATATTTACTAAGAAATCACATTGTTACCATAGAAACATTACTTAGTATGTATGTTGTGTGTGTGTGTGTGTGTGTGTGTGTGTGTCTGCTCTGTCTGTGCACTAGTCAGTGACTCGATGCAACCTGTTGGGTTCCTTACATTGGAAACTTTTTACTGATTGGCTTAATGAACTGACCTGTATTAGAATGTTTACTGTGTGAAGTGCCATGAGACAACTCTTGTCGTGATTTGGCGCTATATAAATAAACTTGAATTGAGTTGAACTTGTATTAATCCAAACGAGACAGTTTGAGGAAATAAAAGTCCAAATCCTGCTGTCAAAGGCAAATTTCTCCTCAAGCTGACTTCTACATACTCAAACAGGCGCATCTTATTCCCACCCGGCTTATTTTCCCTCATGAGTCTCTTTGTTACAGTACAGGAGTTGTGCTAAATAAACACCGCTGAGAACATTTGCATGTTCTGATTACATCTTCCTCTGAGATTCCACATAAATTAAGCAAGACACTGTCTTGGGTTTAACACACATTCTCTCTTTCTCTATTCTTAGCAGCACTCCTACTCAGAGCTACTGTCTCAGCCAGGCAGGGCACAAAATGGATGATGTCATGTTTTTTGGCAGTAACTACTAGCACAATCAAAACAGTCAAGTAACAAATACACTGTAAGCCCTGATGTATGTGTTTATGATGAATGATGCCTGATTTATTTAAATATTTTCAACTGCAAATGTGGCAAAAATCAAATACACACACACACACACACACACACACACACACACACACACACACACACTGAGGGCAAACACAAAAATAGATGTGTTCACAGATTTCAGAGACCAACTTATTAGTTTGCCTACTTTGTAAATGTTGATCCCAAGATTGAATGCACAAGACGGTTTGTGCAAAGCAGAAGAAGAATCTCATGTGTGTCTGTGTGAACACACGTGCATGAATGCACGTAGGAGGCTTTGCACCCTTTGGAAGGTCCTGCTATTAAGAATGTTGCCAACACAAGCTGTTTCTTACCATCATAGCAGAAACCGTGAAAACAGGGACTGGAGCTGCACTCGTCCACATTGATTTCACAGCGGGGGCCAGTGAAGCCCCGACGACAGTGACAGCGGAAGCCCAAGGGGAAATGGTCCTGATCCAACTCCTCTACACACACTGCGCCATTCTCGCAGGGATTACTGGCCTCACAGGGTAGGAATTCACAATTATGACCTGGAGTGAAGAAAGAAAACACAGAGAGAAAGACCATCCAGTAGACAGAAGTATCCAAGTAAAAGTACAATGGCACTTCAGACCTGTGGACATAGCAGTTTAAACCTAGTGTGTGCTTCGTATAACCGCTACAATGCATGTTGTGTTTAATTATTCGCTAAAAATAATGAAAATGTCTTAAAACTGCACAAATGGATCAGTAATGCTATATATATATATATATTATAATATTGTCACATGGGTTAAAAATCTAAATTAAATGTAAAATTCATTAAAGGTGTGGGACACTCGTTCAATCAATACATTTGCAGTGGCCTCTAGTAGGAATGAATGCTTTGTAAGTCATACTCTGAAGGAGGTCCAATGTGCCTGTTTCAGGAACTAGCACAATGCCACATCAGAGACGACCTTCAGACAGCAGGATTTGGAGTCTCTCCTCTGATTAGCTAAGAGCAACACAACTCTACCGCTGACTGTTTGTTTTGTAACAATGATCTTTTATCTCTACAAATAACACAAGTCTGGAGGGGTCCTACTGTGTGGTGGAGTTGCTAGCGGTTAGCTGTTACTAGCTGAGACATTCTCTGTTGTTTCCAGGATGCTAAACCAACAGCCTTCCCGTCGTGAGTCAAGATGGGCAAGTCCATGAATGTGAATGGTTCCATATCATGCCATTTTAAATATGTAATAGCAAAGGTAGACACAATATATGATGAAATAATTCTGTTCCACAACTGAGATGTAATTTATCTTAAATGTGAGTTATTCTAACCAGCCTGACTTTATACCCGGAAATAAAACGGTTCATTTCAGCGAAACTCTGCCCAGCATCTTAGGTTATTAGTCAGTAGTTAAATTGGCTATGAAAGCCCAGTGGTTAAGACATCTGTCATCCATCTCAGTCTTACCACATGCTGACATGAGTTTGAATTTCGGTGGTGTTGGCAGTAATTTATTTAGCTGACTGAAGTGTTCATAATTTAATATTTTAATTTTATTGATGATTTTCTGCAAACTATTTTGTGTCTCTAAACATCTTTGAATTTGGTCATTTCCAAGCCTCATTTTAGTTCATTTACACTGCTCACCTCATGTGGTCTCACACTGGCTAAATAAACAAAGTAAAGTAAAGTAAAGTATATATATATATATATATATATATATATATATATATATATATATATATATATATATATATATATATATATATATATATATATATATATAAAACATAATACTGAAAAAGTTAAGAATAAACAAAGTGACTTCTGGGACCTGAGCAAAACTACATGCCAGCCCAGCATTATAACCACGTGACTACCAGGTCTGCTACGTAACACCTGTCGCCTTAGCCACATATCCTGTGCAGGCCAGGGGAGACGGGTGTCAGACCAAAGACTAGTTACCGAGAGAGAAGGCCTGATGACGAGACTAGTTTCCATTATGGAGTAACAGGATTTTCAAAGTAAAACTCAAAATTTGCAGCTGAAACAATAAATTGGATGAATACAGCCAAAAACAGGTTTGGGTTTTTTTTTCATGAGGAAATCATTACAACACGATAATAGTGGATTTTCCATGATAAGAACTATAGGAGACTATTTTCATGTTCAGCCTGCATGCTAAACTCAGTGACTAATTATAATCAGAAATAATAATCAGAAATAATAATAAAATGTTTTTTCAGTGTTCCACACCTTTAACATGACAGTCTTTAGTGATACATTGAGAGAAAAAAAAAACAAGAAAAAAAGCTATGTAACACCACAAGCAGAGCATGCAGGAAACACACATTTGATCACAATGCAAGTGGCTCTCATGCAAGTAAAAGAAAATAAAAGATGCACACAAGATAAATCAAACCATACAATGCTTTCAAGACAATATATAAATAACAGGTGGTGTACATCTGATAATCTCTATAAAAACAGACAAAATGGAATGATTAGCAAAATAGCATTTGTGGTTTAATCGTGAAGAAAATAGTGAAGGATGTGACAGATGTGAGAAAGCAGAATCTTTGTTCATTTTTACTTTCATTAAAAAGGTGTTCACCTATACAACATAAAAGTCCTGCTACCTTTATTTCAACAGTTTCATCAAATTTAGGTTAAGACTCCTAAACCTGTATGTTTTTAAACTAGATTCTGCCAGTAATTCTTTGAAGTGTGTCATTGTGCTTCTCAGCCATCATTCTCACAGGCCTGCTAATGCAAAGCTAAGATGTGTGAAGTGTTTTCTTGATTTTAGTTTTTCTAAGATTCCACAACAAAAAGAAAGCTAATTAGGTCCGTGAGAGCAGCTTTCAGGTTTAAACAAGGGCACTTCAAAAATGTGTCTAGGAAGAGTCAGACTGGGAGGACGTTTCTCACATTTACAGGTGCTGGCCAGTAAATTAGAATATCATCAAAAGGTTGAAAATATTTCAGTAATTCCATTCAAAACGTGAAACTTGTACATTATATTCATGCAATGCACACAGACCAATGTATTTCCGATGTTTATTACGTTTAATTTTGATATTTATAGGTGACAACCAATGAAAACATCAAATCTGGTATCTCAGAAAATTAGAATATTCTAAAGGCCAATGAAAAAATGTTTGTTTCTCTAATGTTGGCCAACTGAAAAGAATGAACATGAAAAGAATGTGCATGTATAGCACTCAATACTTAGTCGGGGCTCCTTTTGCCTCAATAACTGCAGTAATGCGGCGTGGCATGGACTCGATCAGTCTGTGGCACTGCTCAGGTGTTATGAGAGCCCAGGTTGCTCTGATAGTCGTCTTCAGCTCCTCTGCATTGTTGGGTCTAGCGTATTGCATCCTCCGCTTCACAATACCCCATAGATTTTCTATGGGGTTAAGGTCTGGTGAGTTTGCTGGCCAATCAAGGACAGGGATACCATGGTCCTTGAACCAGGTGCTGGTGGTTTTGGCACTGTGTGCAGGTGCCAAGTCCTGTTGAAAGGTGAAGTCTGCATCCCCATGAAGTTGGTCAGCAGCAGGAAGCATGAAGTGCTCTAAAACTTCCTGGTAGACGGCTTCATTGACCCTGGACCTCAGGAAACAGAGTGGGCCAACACCGGCAGATGACATGGCACCCCACACCATCACTGACGGTGGAAACTTTACACTGGACCTCATGCAACGTGGATTCTGTGCTTCTCCGCTCTTCCTCCAGACTCTGGGTCCTTGATTTCCAAAGGAAATGCAGAACTTGCTTTCATCAGAAAACATAACTTTGGACCACTCAGCATCAGTCCAGTCCTTTTTGTCCTTGGCCCAGGCGAGACGCTTCTTGCGCTGTTTCTTGTTCAAGAGTGGCTTGACACACGGAATGCGACACCTGAATCCCATGTCTTTCATGAGTCTCCTCGTGGTGGTTCTTGAAGCGCTGACTCCAGCTGCAGTCCACTCTTTGTGGATCTCCCCCACATTTTTGAATGGGTTTGTCGTCACAATTCTCTGCAGGGTGCGGTTATCCCTAGAGCTTGTACACTTTTTTTCTACCACATTTTTTCCGTCCCTTCGCCTGTCTGTTAATGTGCTTGGACACAGAGCTCTGCGAACAGCCAGCTTCTTTAGCAATCACCTTTTGTGTCTTGCCCTCCTTGTGCAAGGTGTCAATGATTGTCTTTTGGACAGCTGTTAAGTCAGAAGTCTTCCCCATGATTGTGGTGCCTTCAAAACAAGACTGAGGGACCTTTTAAAGGCCTTTGCAGGTGTTTTGAGTAAATCAGCTGATTAGAGTGGCAGCAGGTGTCTTCTATATTCAGCCTTTTCAGAATATTCTAATTTTTTGAGATACCAAATTTGGAGTTTTCATTAGTTGTCACTTATGAATATCAAATTTAAATGTAATGAACATTGGAAATACATTGGTCTGTGTGCATTGCATGAATATAATGTACAAGTTTCACGTTTTGAATGGAATTACTGAAATATTTTCAACCTTTTGATGATATTCTAATTTACTGGCCAGCACCTGTATTATTAATTTACTGGTGATGTGTTCCTGAGAATTCTACTGGAAGACTTTTAAACATAATGGTTCCTTCTCCCCTTGAAACAGTACTCATACTCACAGTCACATCATAAAAATTACGGGTATCTGCTATTAAGGAGCAGAATAGCAACACCACTTTTTAGCCTTTGACAAAGTGATGGAATGTGTCTCTCGGGTGGCAAACATCAACCGCAGCTCACATCTGCCTAATAGGTCAAGTTCTCTTTATCTAACAAGAGATGGCAAATGGGGATGTCTTCATTTTGTTGTGACATGTGAAGTGGGTCCAGACAGGTGAAAATAATAGCATGTGAAGTTAATTAACTTTGCTTTTTGTCCCTCTTCCCTCAGTGCTCATTACCTTTAAACGGAGCCACGCACTGGCAGAAGTAATTACCAGGCAGGTCAAAGCAACTTGCTCCATTCTTGCAAGGAGATGAAGCGCACTCATCAATGTCGAGTTCACATACCGTACCTTTGACAGGAAAGAACACAAATGGTTGAATATGTTAAAACAAAGGGTGACTCACATAAAGGCTTTTCAGCAGTTCCTCTTGTGTTTCAGTCTTAAATGTGTAGTATAATTTTAAACCAGAGGGGTGTTGCGGATGCAAAACTACAAAGTTGTTCCTATTTGCTCAGATCTATCCTTCACCCCACTACAAACTGAACATTTACCTTTTTAAAAGCCAGAAAACAAAACTGAATATATTCCATGAGGATGTGTTGGTTTCTAGCAAATAAAACTCAAACTGAGATGTTAATAATGGGACACAAGCTTTAAAACTAGAGTGCATGAGGACTTTCCACAGAAAGGTAGATGCAATGGCAAACAAACTGTCTGCATTTAGAAAATAATGTCGGCCACTTGGGCCAGCTCCTTTAGGGGTGTCCAAGGTGTTCCCCGGCCAGACAAGATGCCAGAGCTACCTCGACACATTTGTAGCCACATATTTACCTTCACACATTTTTTTGTGTTTCAGATACTTTCAATTACAAATAGAAATAAACACTAAAACAGGTTTTCATCAGGGTCATTCTTTTGCTGTGGCATACTAAATATTTATTTACACCAATACGCTAATTTCTCTAAATGCCCTCTAACACCAAGTGAGCCCTTAGGCCATCCTAAAACAAAAAGACACCAGGTGTCTTCATCTTCTTCAGTTTATCCAGGTCCAGGTTACAGGAACAGCGGCTCTAGCAGGACAGTCCTGAGTCTCTTCTCCACAGCCACTTCCATTAGCTCCCCTGGTGGCATCCCAAGGCGTTCCCAGGGAATGTTACAGGTAAATTCCCTCCAGCATTTTCTGGGTCGCTTTCTGACAGGACCTGTCTGAAACACCTCCCTGGTGTTTAGGATGTACCCAGGAGGCATCCTAAGGGCGGGTCCACCTTAGCTGGCTCCGCTCAGTGTGCAGGAAAAGTAAATCTCCCACTACTGACCGGGTTTAGGATCTACATAACTGCAGACCCTCTCTCGTTGCAACCGTTGACCTCTTTTCTTCTCATAATTTAGACAATGAGATACTTAAACTTCTGTAATTGAGGCAATACTTCACTCCTGGCCCAAATTAGGTAATCCGTCTGTTTTTAGTTGAGAATAAGGCTGGCCGGAAAAAATAAATTACTAAATAAAAAAGAAAATCAATGTAAATTTTAAAATATCTTTTCCACAATGAGAACAGGTAGATGAAGACTTTGATACAGAAAACTGATGAACAGCTAATCACCATACTGGACCAATAAGTGGCCGGAACAGAGCCACACAGTAGCAGTCGGACATGCTAACAGCTTATTTTTGTGTAGGCAGGAGACAGCTGTCTCGTCTCGTCTCGTCTTCCTCCGCTTATCCGGGTCCGGGTCGCGGGGGCAGCATCCCAATTAGGGAGCTCCAGGCCGTCCTCTCCCCGGCCTTGCCCACCAGCTCCTCCGGCAGGACCCCAAGGCGTTCCCGGACCAGATTGGAGATGTAACCTCTCCAACGTGTCCTGGGTCGACCCGGGGGCCTTCTGCCGGCAGGACATGCCCGAAACACCTCCCCGGGGAGGCGTCCAGGAGGCATCCTGACCAGATGCCCAAACCACCTCAACTGGCTCCTTTCGATCCGGAGGAGCAGCGGTTCTACTCCGAGTCCCTCCCGAATGTCCGAGCTCCTCACCCTATCTCTAAGGCTGAGCCCGGCCACCCTACGGAGGAAACTCATTTCGGCCGCTTGTATCCGCGATCTCGTTCTTTCGGTCATTACCCAAAGCTCATGACCATAGGTGAGGATTGGGACGTAGATCGACCGGTAAATCGAGAGCCTGGCTTTCTGGCTCAGCTCCCTCTTCCCCACGACAGATCGGCTCAGCGTCCGCATCACTGCAGACGCCGAACCAATCCGCCTGTCGATCTCCCGATCCCTCCTACCCTCACTCGTGAACAAGACCCCGAGATACTTAAACTCCTCCACTTGAGGTAGGGCCTCTCCCCCGACCCGGAGGTGGCAAGCCACCCTTTTCCGGTCGAGAACCATGGTCTCAGATTTGGAGGTGCTGATCCTCATCCCAGCCGCTTCACATTCGGCCGCGAACCTACCCAGCAAGAGCTGAAGGTCAGAGCTGGATGAAGCTAGGAGGACCACATCATCCGCAAAAAGCAGAGACGAGATTCTCCTGCCACCAAACTCGACACACTCCACACCACGGCTGCGTCTAGAAATTCTGTCCATAAAAGTGATGAACAGAACCGGTGACAAAGGGCAGCCCTGGCAGAGTCCAACCCTCACTGGGAACAGGTCCGACTTACTACCGGCTATGCGGACCAAACTCACGCTCCTCTGGTAAAGGGACTGAATGGCCCTTAACAGAAAGCCACCCACCCCATACTCCTGGAGCGTCCCCCACAGGGTGCCCCTGGGGACACGGTCATAAGCCTTCTCCAAATCCACAAAGCACATGTGGATTGGTTGGGCAAACTCCCATGCCCCCTCCATCACCCTTGCAAGGGTATAGAGCTGGTCCACAGTTCCACGGCCAGGACGAAAACCACATTGCTCCTCCTCTATCTGAGATTCAACTATCGATCGGACCCTCCTCTCCAGTACCTTGGAGTAGACCTTTCCAGGGAGGCTGAGGAGTGTGATCCCCCTATAGTTGGAACACACCCTCAGGTCACCCTTCTTAAAGATGGGGACCACCACCCCGGTCTGCCACTCCCTAGGAACTGCCCCCGATGACCACGCAATGTTGTAGAGACGTGTCAACCATGACAGCCCTACAACATCCATAGCCTTGAGATACCCAGGACGGACCTCATCCGCCCCCGGGGCTCCGCCGCTGTGTAGTTGTTTGACTACCTCAGCAACTTCTGCCCCCGAGATCGGACAGTCCATCCCCAGGCCTCCCAGCTCTGGTTCCTCCTCGGAATGCGCATTGGTGGGATTGAGGAGCTCCTCAAAGTATTCCTTCCACCGTCCGACTATAGCCTCAGTTGACGTCAGCAGCTCCCCATCCCCACTGTAAACAGTGTGAGCGAGTTGCTGCCTTCCTCTCCTGAGGCGCCGGACAGTTTGCCAGAACCTCTTTGGAGCCGATCGATAGTCTTTCTCCATGGCCTCACCAAACTCCTCCCACGCCCGAGATTTTGCCTCGGCAACTGCCACTGCTGCACCCCGCTTGGCTATCCGGTACCTGTCTGCTGCCTCCGGAGACCCACAGACCAGCCACGCCCTGTAGGCCTCCTTCTTCAGCCTGACGGCTCCCCGAACCTCTGGTGTCCACCAGCGGGTACAGGGGTTGCCACCACGACTGGCACCGGCCACCTTACGACCACAGCTAGCAACAGCCGCCTCGACAATCGCAGAGTGGAACAAGGCCCACTCGGACTCAATGTCCCCCACTGCTCTCGGGACGTGGTCAAAGCTCTGCCGGAGGTGGGAGTTGAAGACCGTCTTGACAGGTTCTTCTGCCAGGCGTTCCCAGCAGACCCTCACTATGCGTTTGGGTCTGCCAGGTCTACGCGGCATGTTCCCTTGCCATCTGATCCAACTCACCACCAGGTGGTGATTAGTTGACTGCTCCGCTCCTCTCTTCACTCGGGTGTCCAAAACATACGGCCGCAGGTCAGATGATACGACTACAAAATCTATCATCGACCTGTGACCTAGGCTGCCCTGGTACCAAGTGTACCGGTGGGCATCCTTATGTTCGAACATGGTGTTCGTTATGGCCAAACTGCGGCTTGCACAGAAGTCCAATAACAAAACACCGCTCGAGTTCAGATTAGGTGGGCCGTTCCTCCCAATCACACCCCTCCAGGTCAAGCTGTCATTGCCCACGTGAGCATTGAAGTCCCCCAGCAGGACAATGGAGTCCCCTGATGGAGCACTATCTAGCACTCGTCCCAGGGACTCCAAAAAGGGTGGGTACTCTGAACTGATATTTGGCCCATAAGCACAAACAACAGTCAGGACCCGTTCCCCGACCCGAAGGCGCAAGGAAGCTACCCTCTTGTCCCCCGGGGTAAACCCCAACACACAGGCAGAGAGTCTCGGGGCTAACAAAAAGCCAACCCCAGCCCTCCGCCTCGCACCCGGAGCAACTCCAGCAAAGTAGAGTGTCCAACCCCTCTCCAGGTCTCGGGTTCCAGAACCAATGCAATGTGTCGAGGTGAGTCCGACTATATCTAGCCGGTACCGCTCAACCTCTGCCACAAGCTCCGGCTCCTTCCCCGCCAGCGAGGTGACGTTCCATGTCCCAAAAACTAGTTTTCTTGTCCGGGGATTGGACCGCCAAGGCTCCCGCCTTGGTCTGCCACCCGATTCACATTGCACCGGACCCTTCATGTTCCTCCTGCAGGTGGTGGGTCCACAGTTGGACGAGCCCATGTATCCGGTTCGGGCTGGGCCCGGCCGGGCCCCATGGGCGAAAGCCCGGCCACCAGGCGCTCGCTCACGGGCCCCAACCCCAGGCCTGGCTCCAGGGTGGGACCCCGGTAACCCTCCGGGCCGGGTACTCCGACTCTTCGTTTTAACCGCCATGAAAGATCCTTAGACAGCTGGTCTAACTAAAATAAAAATTTGCACCTGAAAGGGATAGAAAATGATGGAGGACAAAGCAAATGACATCGCTGCCAGGAAGGGACAAAACAGTTTGGTTGCGTGGACGTATTTAAGCTAGTTACAGTCGAACAAAAACAAAGAAGCCGCACCGCTAAAAGTGTTGAACCCAGATTTAGACTATAGGTCGAGGAGGAAAATCACCTTTCTGATAGAATAGCAAACATAATCCCACTGTGGGATCAGTAAAGTTTATTTTATTCTATTCTATACAATATTTATCAAAATAATAAACTGAGGATGCAAAGATTTGTTTTTTCTTTTCCAGCATAGACGATGTAGACAATTATTTTTTTAAAAGCTGCTTTAGTTTTCACTTATTTCAGTTTTTTATCACTTTATTTTACAATAAGCAACAAAAACATATAAACTACATTTAAACCAGAGTTTGAGAATTAGAATTTCAAAGCCCGTTTTGTTAATCTTCTCCGGCGCTTGAAGGCTTTAGTTTAAACTAAATTTCTTGTTTATCCACAACAGTTACATTCAGCTTTTGAAAACAGATCTTAAAAATCAAAATAACTCTGATATCTTCAAATCTCACTTAAAAGTATCGAAGACCATGAAAGGTCAACATTATTAGGGATTTGTATTATATCGTGGCATTTATTTTAATATTGACTGATATGAAAAATTAATAGCGTGACAGCACTTTTGTCCATATCACCCAGCCCTAGATGAACAAGTTGATGACATCATCACATAGACATAATGATAAAAGTTAACTTTTCAATATCACAAGTACATCTAACAAAAAATATAAGAAAATTAAAACATATGACATATTTGTAATAGGGGGGAAAGCTGCTGAAATATTTCCATTCACTTTTTACAAGATCAAAGTGAAGTCCACACAGAGTCCTGCATGTTTCAGCCTTTAGCTGAACAATTCCAAGGGTTTTCCAGTGGAATAGCCTTTTAGGCATTCCAGACCTTTAATGTCTTTTCTTAAAAAGTCATTTCTGTGTTTGACCTTGCAGAATGAAATAGCTCTGCTGGCTTCATATCTTTCTTCTGTTGTGAACAGTAGCTAACTAATGATTTCTCCCCACATTTTTAAATGAATTGTGTTTTTCCTCTCTGAAGAAACACGTTTGAAAGGCTGGTCTGCCGAAGCATCACAATGCAGGACTTTAAGACACAACGAGAGTTGACCCTGTAGAAGTTGGCTTGTTCACAACACTACATTGCAAAAAAAAAAAAAAAACACTTTTAGCTGTAAACATTTCAAAATGACGATTTCAGCTGTAAAACCTTTCTTCTGCATTCACTTCACCTCATTCGAATATTGATTAATGCTTTTATTTCCTTCATACAAGAACACATTTCTAAAGATCTTAATTGGACAAAAGACTGAAGATTTCACTGACCTGTAAAGCCAAGCTTACAGACACAGTCATAGCCATGAACAAGGTCGACACATGTGGCGTTGTGCAGACAGGGAGAGGAGATGCACTCATCTATATTGACTTCACACAAGTTTCCTGTAAGGATATTTAAAAAGAAGCACTGGTCTCACTCACCTTCAATTAAATTAACATTCAGAGGACAGCATTCTGAGACTTTATTTCACAGCTTCAACTAGACCCCCCCCCCCCCCCCCTCCCTCCCAGAAAAAAAAAACCAAGTTCTTTGAACTTTCTTTTTGGCAAACAAAAATAACCCAAAAAAACATTGGATTTTGACTGAATTTCAATTGTACAGGACCCCAAGAATGGTCCATGCACTGCAGAAGGAATCAGTGTCTTAGTGTTCTCTGTTTGCTTTGTGTGAAAGCACAAAGCAGATCTGCAGCAAAATACACTATGGCACAAGATGGTTCCTTTCTCTTTTTGCATTATCACTGTTTCACACATTTACAGTGTCTGTGAGCGCTAGAGGAGGCTGTTACAAAGTGTGAAATGCCAACATGATAATCGGTCTTTGAATTACACCAACAGTTCATGTAATTACAGAGTACTGTTTGTGCCACTCTTGTAGCACTACAAAAGGACAGAGCCTGTTTTACAACCTCACTGCCTCCCCGGCAGACATGGCATTAGTTTGAGGTAAGGGTTGGAACATAAGGTTTTTCCTTTTTGTCCGTGAACACTGTGTTGTATTTCAGCAGAGCTTTGCTTTTTTCCAATTCACATTTACTTCCAATTTTCTAAAATGGATGTGATTTTTGCTGTCAAAGTTAATTCTTCATTGAAACTAGACCATCAGCAATTTTATAACACTCACTAACTACACTTTGTGCACAAGAAGCGGGTTACACACAAACACAAAATCATATTTCATTGGCTTAAAGTGACTGTGTGTGTTTTCCCTGGCGATTGGGGGCAGAACATACCTAAATCATTCCAAGGAAGCTGAATTTTTGTGTTCAAGTAAAACCTTACCTACAGATGGCCACTAGGGTCAAAAATCCTCCAGTAAAATGACAAGCACATCAGACTCCCTTTCATCACTAGCAACGAGCGAAGAGCTAAATGTGCAAAACAACGTTTATGAATAGTGAACTTTTTGTAACCACTTATTACAAATCAGTAAATGCATTTTGTCCTCAAGGGCTCATGTAGAGGGAAACATGTCGTCTCCAAGAGACTTAGACCAGCTCCCATGTATTATGGACCCACTATTCATGGTTATATGTTACGAAGTTGCCAATAATTTGCAAACTGGGCATCATTTAATTCATTTTCAACATTTCAATTGATATTTCAAATCATTTTCTTCAGCCATTGTGTAGACGACCCTTTACAGGGTTAATCAAATGTTACTCAGACTCCGCCTCCTGTGGCCACAATACCAGGCTTGCAACTTCAGAGTTGCTGGTCCAGTCCCTGTGGGAGCTGTGGAATGAAGTGGAGCTGACATGGTGGAGCTGGAGTCTGCTTTAAGAACATTTCTTGCATGGTTTAGATCATGAACACAGCTGATTTGTTTTATTTAGTGATGATCGGCTCCTGTAGAAGCTAATGAAGGCCGAGAAGACATTTGAGCTGTTGGAAGAAGATGTTAAAAATAGGGATGAGCGAATACACCCCTATCTGTATCTGTTCAACCATCTAAATTATCTGTATCTGTACTCGGAGTGGGCGTGACCTAACCCGAAAGTGGGTGTGATTTACGTCAATACATTATTTTAAGTCTAAAATTGATATGGATTGTTCAGAAGTTGCTTTATGTATTGTTTATTTGAAAACTTTTTACAGAGCAGCCTCAGAATTGAGATTAAATATTTTTGATCACAATAGTAAAGAAACTGTTACAGAACAAGTTTTTTTTCAATAAAATCAGAACATTAATATTTAAGTGCATGAATCAATACATGCAGAGAGAGAGAGAGAGAGAGAGAGAGAGAGAGAGAGAGAGAGAGAGAGAATGACCAGACCGGAGCGGAGGCAGTGACCGACGCAAGCAAGCACAGAGAGATCCGTTACTGTATGTGTGTGTGTGTGTGTGTGTGTGTGTGTGTGTGTGTGTGTGTGTGTGTGTGTGTGTGCGCGTGCGTGTGTGTGTGCGCGCGCGCATATATGGGCCGGACTGAGCTGAGCTCCCGGCTGCAGAGTTTTGTGTGTAGGGAAGGGCAGGCGCTCTATGTGACTGGCCAATCACAGAGCACAAAGACAGTCAGTTACCCAATGAGGATTTTCCTTCAGCACGATTACAGATATTTAAGAGTTTTACTCGTTTCATGCTCGTATTAGTCAAGAATACTTTATCCGTGCCGTATCCGGCTCATCCCTAGTTAAAAAGTCTAACTCACAGCGGGGAGATGAGTTTCATTTTTGGTACAACCAGAGTGAATTAATATCAGACACTGGGGGACTAAATGCATGCAAAATTTCCTATTATCCCTTTAATGCATCTCATAAATTGCACATATTTACCTAGAGTGTATAATTACCAATTTTTCTGACAGGAACTAAATGTGATGCAACTGCCAATTAGATGGATGTAAAATGTATAAAAGTGGAAGTTGTAAAACTACAAGGTGTAAAACCAGACAATCAAACTTCTTGCTGTGATTTGTCAATAAGGAGGCAAAAACAGCTGTGAGAGGAAAAAGTATAGTAGTAAGTAAGTAATAAATCTGTCAAATAATACATTTGAAGCTAAAGCTATTATGTTCCAATATCAAGACATTCTTGAAACGCAATTTAACTGAACGGTCCAGAAACACTTGACAACGTGTCAACGAGGAACACTGAGTCAAAACATGAAGAGCTTGGATTGATACAAAACATACCCGGACAGAGAATAAAAGAGAAGGATGGATCTTTGATGGGCAACTGAAGACGGAGGACACCAATTCAAATGCTGAAGCCTAGTGGAGGAAGTACTGCAGCTATGGGTCATTCAAAATGACTGTTTGAAGCATAATTTTGGAATGAAGTTCCACAAAAAGAAGTAAACTTCTTAACTGTCATCAGTCGCTGAAGGAATCTTTTTTCCTAAGGAGTAAGTCATTTAACTTCCTATCTAAGGATCATCTTAAGATGATCCACTTTGATTCTCACACCCCACAGTGGGGGGTTCTGACCCAAACTTTTAGATCCACTTCATTAGAGAGCCTTAATCTTCATGTAGTGCTTCATCAGATCCAAGCGCTCCTCTGAACGGGGTGCCAGCAAAGGCCTTGAAGATTACCAAGTAACAACTTGACCTTTTTTTCTTTATTGACTGAAAATGTTTTTAGAAGTTGACGACCCAATGAAGGATTATAAAGAAGGAAGACACGCCACCCCTTTGGAGTGTTTTGGTTGCAACTTCAAAAAAGTTGATGGCTAAAAGTAGTAGAAGGCTGGCAAACTCGATTCATGTAGACTTATAGAAAGAAACAATAATGAGCTGTATACTGGTCTACATAAGATATAACAAAAAAATTTCAGTTTAAAAATGTTTTTAAGTATAACATGATATATTTGAATTCAGAATTATATCCATAAGTTTATTTTCCAACAATTTAATAAGTGTATTTATGTGTATATGTAAGAGAGAGACTACATTCAACTAAATAACCAGGAAGCCCCCCTCCCCCTCCATATATATATGATATGTTAGGGCTGCAGCTATTGAATATTTTTGTAATCGAGTACTCTATCGAATCTTTTATCGATTAATTGAGTACTCCAATAAATTACCCGTTTGTGTTTGTAAACCATAATATCAAATAGCATGTTATAAAATATGAAAGACCTCTTAAATTGAGCAAGCAAGCACTTGCCAGTTATTCTTCAAGTTTTATTCAAAATTAGTTTTCAAAACTTCAGCACTTCAACTTTACTTCACAGTAAACAAATGCCTGTGCAAAAAATAAGTATACAACCTGAGCCGATTTTCCCCTTGTGCGAGAATCTACTAGCCCAGCAAGCCAGACAAAAACTAGAATGATAACTGTTTAAGTAGCGCTGCGAGCGCCTGCTGCCCAAACAGCACCAGAACCGCTCACGGCGCATGCGCAAACATGGCTCACCAGCTATTTCCCTATTAACACACGTCCGTTTTAATTTCTACACTTTTTTTCTCACACAATAACAAGGATTGTTGAGAAAGCATGTTTGCCGTGGTGATGTCAAATTTTACTGATCACAAAACATTTATTTACTATCTTATGTCTTCCTCTGCCACTCTCATAAATACCTGTGTCCTCCTGCAGCAATCCCGAGGGACAACAGACATCAATAACAACACAATAAAACGTCCAACATGTTGTGTAAAAACTGCTTTTTTTAGCACATTTTTAGGTCCGACGTGTTGTGTAAAAACTGCTACTTTTAGCACATTTTTAGGTCCGACGTGTTGCTACCAGAAGCACAATGTGAGCTAAAACTAAGTGCTACAAAATTAAAAAGTCGCATAGTGTCCGCAGAATATATAGCGGACCTCCGAGTCCGCTTGCAGAAGTGACATTTACATGTGTAAACGCCTTACAACGTGAAAAATGGTCCCACACCTTCGACATGTGTTGTCTTTTTCGCACTCCACTGGGGTCCATGTTGTCCGCCATGGCTTAAGAGAAAGTTAAGCATTCGCTACTCGCGTGTGCATTCAGTGCAGTGTTTATGTGCGTCACTTATTTCGGTCCGGGTGAAACAAGACCCCCGGGCGATTGCAAAGCCATGAAATAATTAAACATGAATTAAACGAAGACTCGAGGCAGAGACATTGACTCGAGGCTTTTTTCTACTCGAATTATTGGAGGTACTCGAGGAATCGTTTCAGCCCTAATTATATATATATGCCTCCATGCTGTTGTCCAGTAACCATGGAAACCACAATGAGCACCGGCAGCCTCATCACTAGTGGATCCCTCCACGGTTCTCCAGGTGGAAGCAACTGGACTAATTGTTTTCCCTGGACCTGGAAGGATAAAAGGCAGGAGGAGCTTTCACTCTAGGAACTACTTGTAACCAAGTAGACTCCCTTTGGGCTGGTTTCAGGGTTTAGAATTTTGAATATCTTGAAAGAAAATAATACCTTAGCTTTCAATAAGTCTCTCTTTAGGTTTTGTAATTACTCATAGTAAAAGGACTACAGTGGCCACTGTTTGAGTGTGAGAGTCTTTTGTGGTTAAGTTGCTGTACTATTATGTAGAAGGTGAAAGCCTCTTTAGGTTTTGGAAATAACCCTGAGTCTTTTAGTTAATCCATCCCCCATCTTTCTTCCTTTTGTACCATCCTGTTGGACACTTAGGTCTGATAGGTTTTCTTTTGTTGCTGCCAGTTAAAAGAACTGAGCCTTAGCCTCTTGATTTATTTTGTACTAAAATTGGACTCTCTGGAAGCAGAGTTTCATGGGCTGTGTTGGTTTTATTGCTGTTAGGATTTCCAGCCCTTGGTTTTGTGTTATCTCCTAATGTTTTAATAAATTTGTTTTCTTTACAGAAGTTCCTTCTTGTCTCCCCGGTATCCCCTCCCTGAAGAAGGTAAAGCATAACAAGTGGGGGCTCGTCCGGGATATTATCCTTTAATGTTCACATCTTAATCCTGGAGCCTTCTTCACCATTTCTCATATCTTCTCCCTTGAAGTGAACTTGTGTGTGTGTGTGTGTGTGTGTGTAGAATTGTGTAGACCAGTGGTTCCCAAACTTATTTAGCCGCGCACCCCCTTCTATGTCCCGACCATGTCGACCCCCCCCCCCCCCCCCCCCCCCACCACCACCACCCGCCGCATCGGGGCATGTCTCTCTCTCTCTCTCTCTCTCTCTCTCTCTATATATATATATATATATATATATATATATATATATATATATAGCTGGGGGTGCGCGCACCACACTTTTGGGAATCCCTGGTGTAGACTAATGGTATGCAATGTCTGTCTTTGATTTGCTGCTTTCTTGGAGGCACCTTCCTGTAGCCAGATAGAGGGATGTCACAAACAGGATTTAGTAGAGATGGCTGTGCACCTTGGCCTCACTGGGGCTCAGCAGATGCGGAAGTTGGAGGTCCGAGAATGAATTGTGCTTGAAATGGAACAATTGAAACGGTTTCCCCCCTGTGCCGGTTTCTGTTAATCCTCTCCTCCTCCAGCAGGGATCAAATCATGAGAAGGGGGATGGTGGAACTGTGGCCGGGGAATATGCAGACCGGGAGATGGACATAGAGGAACGGAAGGAGACCCCACCTCCAGGTGAAAGACGTTTTGCTCCTTATGTCTCAATTCCTTGCTATGAACCAATGTCTTCAGACTCCTTTCGAGAATCGCCCGGGTCTGCTAAGCTGCAGGTCAGGTTGGCTCGACTAAAGCACAAGGCTGAAGAAAAAGCTCAGCAAAGGCAAATGGAGGTGGAACTCAGGAAGCTCGAAATCAAGGCCAGAACCAAAGTCTGACTCCGTAGCGTGGAGCTGGAACTCTAAACACAGTTGGGAAACCATTCAGCATGAGGGGTGGATGAAAGAAAGGACAAGGGACTGGACCGGCTGGACATCAGCAAGTGCATCACGTTGTTGCCTCCATTCCGTGAGACCGAGGTGGGCATCTACTTCACCTCGTTTGAGTGCCTTGCACATACACTCTCCTGGGCGCGGGAAGTCTGGCCCCTGGTGTAGGCTATGCAAAGAGGCCCTGAGACAATCCACCACATAACTGCAGGGTGTAAGATGCTGGCAGGGAAAGCATACATGGAACACCACAACCAAGTGGCTGGCATTATGCACAGAAATTTCTGTGCAGAGTATAGCCTGGAATCCCCAAGGTCAAAATGGGCAACCCCCCCTAAGGTGGTTGAGAACGGGAGTGCCAAGCTCCTGTGGGACTTTCAGATCCAGACTGACAAAATGATGATGGTAAACCAACCGGACATTGTGTTGGTGGACAAACAACAGAGGACAGCTGTTGTGGTTGATGTGGCAATACCAAGTGATAGCAACATCAGGAAAAAGATACATGAGAAACTACAGAAGTACCAAGGCATCAAAGAAGAACTTGAGAAAGCCTGGAGAATGAGGACATCGGTGGTGCCATGGTCATCGGGGAAGTAACCCCCCCAACTATGGCGCGGTATGGGGGCCAAAATTAAGACTACTGCCCAGCAGCAGGAGGCTATATAAATTCTGAAGCAAACTACTGATCTGATTAATGATAAGCTGGTGCTGCTTACTGAGAAATAGCACCTTTACCGTCATTACTAATAGATATGCTAGGGACTAGCAGCCCTCGGCTGGTCATTGACTGGTTCACACACTCCCTCTGCTGTGTATTAGCATAGATAGGCTAACGTTAGCCTGGACGGGCTAGTGTTAGCATTGGAGAGGCTTGCCATTAGCGTGCCTAGGCTGGCCACTAGATGGAATTCCTACCTCCTTGATGGACCATTAGCATGGATAGGCTGGCGTTAGCGTGCCTAGGTATGCCACTAGCTGGATTTCCTACACCCTTGACGGACCTTAAGCATGGATAGGCTGGCATTAGCATAGGAGAGGCTAGCCATTAGCATGTCTCAGAGAGTCACTAGTCAGCTAGTGGCCAGCCTAGGCACGCTAATGGCTAGCCTCTCTGATGCTAATGTCAGCCTAACCATGCTAATGGTCCGTCAAGGGGATAGGAAATCCAGCTAGTGGCCAGCCTAGGCACGCTAATGGCTAGCCTCTCCAATGCTAACACCAGCCCATCCAGGCTAACACTAGCCTATCCATGCTAATAGATAGCAGAGGGAGTGTGTGAACCAGTCAATGACCAGCCGAGGGCTGCTAGTCCCTAGCATATCTATTAGTAATGCCGGTAAAGGTGCTATTTCTCAGTAAGCAGCGCCAGCCTCTCAGTTGCCGGCGCCAGCTTATCATTAATCAGATCAGTAGTTTGCTTCAGAATTTATATAGCCTCCTGCTGCTGGGCAGTAGTCTTAATTTTGGCCCCCATACCGTGCCATACCCAACTGGATGAGGGGCTAAAGCAGATCCCAGGAAATACATCAGACATCTCAGTCCAGAAAAATGTCTAGGAACAACTAAGCTACAGCACAGAACCCTCAAGCTCCCAGGCCTAAAATGGAGGACCCGAGCTTGGAAGGATGAGACCACCTGGGGAGGGTGAGATGGGTATTTTTTTTTATACGTGTGTATATAAACAGCTAAAGAAAAAAACTTTTCACCTTTTCAAATTCCTAACACAACCTCTTGAGATTAATCAATGGCCTTACAACATGTATTTTAAACTATCAGCTAAATTAAATGTAAACATTTTGTAATTAAAGGAAAACTTCCTTCATAAAGAGAACATCACCCACCTGTGATCCCAAGAGGACACTGGCAGCTAAATGAGTTGAGCTCATCCAGGCAGGAGCCCCCATTTTGACAAGGCCGGCTTAGACATTCGTTCACTTCAATCTCACAGTTGTTTCCTGGGAAAGCGTAAAGCCAGCACGTGGGTTACTTATTCAGATAAAATGACACTCTGCTTCTTTTACTGACCAATAAATCCAGGTGCACAAAAGCAGCTGTAGCCATTCAGAGCATCTCTACAAACACTCAGAACTCCGCATGGATCCTCTGCACAGTCATCAATGTTTATCTCACAAAACTGGCCTGTTAAACCTGAAATAGAAAGGACAAGCTGTTCTATAGAAGCTGTTTGTTTCAGACGATGCATTAATATGGATTTACTGCAACATAAGAATAAATTAGTATTTATCTGCCTGTATGTTCCACTGATAGTCAACTACTGCTTTGATATAAGGGCGGTACAGACAACCTAAACACCATCTCTGCTTTAAGTCAGCTCACATCCGGATGAGTTGAGCTCTGAATTACACAATGCACAAAGGCTGTAGTGTGCTGTTGCTTAAGGCCAAAGAGATTAGACTCCTACTGAGAAGAGAGCCGAACAAGTGGAAGCATCAGCTGGAAGTGTGTCTCCTAAGTATGTGGTTCAGTCGAGGGAATGCTTCCATCAGAAACAAGCCCCAGCTGAAGGGTCAACCTACCTGGTAAACAATCACATCTGAACCCTCTCGACAGATCCACACAAGCCGAGGCATGTTGACAAAGACCATCAACACAGTGGTTTATGAGGGATTCACAGCGTGCTCCGGTATAGCCGTGACGACACACACATCTATAAGTACTCCCAAGCTCTTCGCAGAGGGTAGTCCCTTCAGGGTGGCAGGGATCTGACACACACTGGCTACTGGACCAGGAGCAGTCTTTGCCCTGGTATCCTGTAAGGGCAGGGATCAAAGAAGTGATTGATGTGCTGGATGCAGTTTAAAAATCTGACATTTTGAATTCTTATAATGCCCCTCTTGCCTGATATTTTTATGTCTGCTGATTTTTGTAATTCCCCTACAGAGCATAAAGCTCCAAAACCAACGAGGGATTTTAGAATCATAGCAGAACGAGTCAAGGACAGCAAAAACAACGGTGGATTGGGGATTTTTCCCATCGGCTGAGCATTTGTAAAGAGATTAATGTGTGAGCCATTGAATTCACAGTAATAAAATCACTAATGTGTTTTCATGTATATTAATTAGAACAGTCATAGAAAAGGACATGGTGTGAACAACAGTCTAGCTTAATGATATTTTAATTAAATTAATTAATAGACAAAACAAAACCAAAACATTAATCCTTAAAATAAAATGAGATATTATTGTATGCTGGTACAAGTCCCAAAAGGTGTGCTGTAATGCCAAGCCCACATAATTCGGGTCTGGATATGAAGCAAAACAGGAAGTGACAAAAACTGCAGTTCCACCCTCAACCGCTGGGGGCTGGTGTCAGAAGTGAGCAAATCCTCATTGACTCCCATGCTAAAAATACCAATTTCACAGCAAAAATAAACATGTTTACAGCCTGGATCCAAAACATGTTTTAGGTATAATAGATATAGTTTATATTCATGACAACTCTGAGGGGGTGAATCTTTTTGTCACTCTTCTGTTTAAGTGTATTAAATGCCTAAAATTTGAAATAATTAATGAGCATCAGACCCACGTGACCGCAGAGCTCGCTCGGGGAAAGGCCTCCGCCTGAGCCTCTGCCTCGCCTTAAACTGTTTAGCCATTTTTAGTCTCTCAACTTAGACCATTAGTTGTAGCATTTTTGCGTTCTTTTCTGGATATTATTTGTGCAATTTTTGGACAAAATTACTTGCTGTGGTATTAATTGCACTAATAGAGCATCCAAGGAGTCTCCACTTCATTTTTTTCAGTAAGTAAAATTATATTTATGTATTTTAGGTCACTGCTGCTCTTGCGCTAGCAGAGCTTATCAAAGTAGCTCAATAACTACCATTTTAACATGTACCATTTAACCATGAAATTTAATGTAATAGGGTGAACCCCCAGTGCATTTAACATAACGCTGCACTTTAGAAAATGGGTTGAAATATAACATGTTGGTGGAGCTGGGTTCCGACTATCGGTATGGTCTCCCTCCCATCAGCAGCAGCTTGGCGCATCTCAGATCGCAGCGGCGCCTGTCTGCTGCGCGGGCTGCTGGCTTCTGGAGCTCTGGGATGGAAACCTCTTTGTTCCACTCGGTTCACCCAGCTGCAGCTCGGCGCATCTCTGACTCAGACGCTCTGGTGTTGTGCACAGTTAGCTCCGGTTGTAGCTAGGTCACTACCTCCGTTAGCTCAGCTCCCACCTCCGTGTTAGCTTTGGGTTAGCTTGTAGCTAAATCGCTTCAGTTCGACGGGTGTCATTTGATCCCAGCCTTGCATCCCCACCCTCAGCTCCACCTCTTTTCCCTTTTATGGAATTGTCTGGGCGTGACAAGACGTGTGACACAATCAAAATGGCGGTGGTGGCCACCTCCCATTTCAGATTAAAAACTTATAATAGGAACCTATGGACAGGAATTGTCTAGTATATACATGTCGATGTGTAAAGCTAGAGGAAGAGGGCAGCCTTTGCCCCGGCAAGCCGTCACTCACCAATTTCAAATCTTGATTCAAGTTTTACTTTAATTCCCTGGCTTTTGATGCTGAATAAACGGTTTGAGATGTTTTATTTGACACCTATTCTACATGTTCTGTGTCTTTTAATTTGTTCTATGTGTACTTATCTGGTTTTCTGTTCTGTTTCAATGTTATTTTCTATGCACCACATTTGGAAACCTCATCTGTTGTAATTTTTAAAGTGCTTTATAAATAACGTTTGTACTGTATTATGGCAGCTGAAAAGAGTTTTCTCCACAGGGTGTCTGGGCTCTCCCTTAGAGATAGAGTGAGAAGCTTGGTCATATGGGACGGGCTTGAAGTAGACCCGCTGCTCCTCCACATTGAGAGGAGCCAATTGAGGTGGCTCAGGCATCTGGTAACGATGCCTTCTGGAGGCCTCCCTGGTAAGATTTTCTGAGCACCAACCAGGAGGACACCCAAGGGAAGACTCGGGACACCATGGAGGGACTATATTCCTGCATTGGCCAGGGAACACCTTGGGATTCCCCCAGAGGAGCTGGCCCAAGTGGCTGGGGAGAGGGAAATCTGGGCTTCTCAGCTTAGGCTGTTGCCCCTAACACCCGACCCTGGACAAACTTAAAGTTAAGGTCCCATTAGTCATCACAAACTGGGGAAATTCGTCTCCCCAATCCAACCCCTTAATGCTAAGTGTCAATCAGGGTGGTATTGGGTCCCCAATTTTAAAGTTGTTGGTATGACCCGAGCGGAATTTGAATCCCAATATCCCAGTCCCAGGATGGACACTCTACCACTAGGCTACTGAGTTGGTAAGCAGGGGAAAATGGATAGATTGACAGACTGACAAATGGACAGATGATTTTAAGAGTTTAAGTCCATTTTATAATAAAATTTTTAATATTACCATTAGGACAAACACAGTGCACTTCCCCATCTAAGGTTTTGGAACAGGTTCCTCTGTTTCTGCAGAGCTCCCCATCTGTTGAGCACTCAGACAAAGATCTGGAGCAATTCTTACCTGAAATACAAAACATAAATTATACTGTTTGAGTTAAGAACATCATCGAACAAAAATAGACCTTAATGCCAAACCTATGGCATGCATCAGAAAAGTATCATGAGCTTAGTGTTTTTTATGCCAACAGTAGGCTGATTACTTCCTTTATTGATGTTTTTCTTTTAGTTTTTCCACTAACACAGTTGAGTTTAATCAAACTCAAGAAAATGCGGCTGCAAACAAAGTGTTTGATTTGCTACTTAAAACATACAATACAAGCAAAGATAAATGATGTGCTGTATTTGACTTTGAGCTTAATAAAACATCCCGAGCTTTAAAAGATAAATTTACCTCCAGGAACGATATTATTTTTAATTTCAGCAGAGGGAGAGAACATATAAGTACTGAGTGGACTCTTGTAACAAATTGAGCAGTTTGGTGGTTATCTGTGCTCATCAGTCATCAATCCATGCTACATTTTAAGGGCTGCTATTAAAATGATAAGAAAAGATCCCACCAGTGAAGCCTGAAGGACAGATGCACTCATAGTCTGCACCCAAGTCGATACACGTGGAATTACTGGCACAGTGTCCATGGGCACATTCACTGTAGTTGATGTCACAGTTGAAACCTGTAAAACCTGGGAAAGGAAAAAAAAATCCACAAAAAACAGTGTGAGCATCAGTAAACATCAGACAGGAAAAGATGCTAATTGGTAATAAATGACACCCAAAAGTGATGGAACTTGACATGACTTTAATCACTCACCACAACAAGTGCATACAGTAGAAAGGAGGGGGAGGAAATGTGTTAACATTTCTCACAGTGTGTCCAATTAGCAGCTTTTCACTGTGATTATGTTTGGATTAAACCCACAGATTAGATTAAATTTAACATCAAAAGTGAAAGTCTTCAAAAATAAGTTGGTGCTAAAATTCCTCTTCTTTCCCCTCATTTCTTCTCACCCATAAACATATTCCACCACATGGTCACGCTACAAAATGACTATCATTAGCACTGTCACACAGCACGGATACAGGAGACCCATGACTAATGCTCAGCTATCAGCGCCATCGGTGCAGGTCAAATCCTCATCATTTCTCAAACTGACCATGGAACCAATTTCCATTTCTCTCCAAGTCATAAAATTTGACAATTATCCTGACTTCATTAAAAATGCATAACAGACTTCACCTGCAATCAAGCTTTAGCCAGAGGTATGTCACACAGGTAGGATGTCAACTGGACCAAGAAATTATTGGGGAAAATAGCCATGATTTATTTATTCTTGTGCTAATGATGCAAGCTGTAATTTCAGCTGTGATCAAAGCAGTATTGGCAAAATAAGTTAACCTTGAGGATATTAAACCACTGGATGGGGAAAGGGCAAGAGGGAAAGTGCCATAAAAATCCTTGGGAGTAAAGAAAGCGTTCATATAAAAAAATTATTTATTTAAATAAACATTACATTTTAATTTAAACATTCACAAATTGGTTTATTTGCTGTTTAGCACAAGGATGTACCAATGTAAGATTATTGTAAATACATGCAGTTAGTAGAATAAGATGATAAGAACCAACGTCCTGACCTATTCCATTAAAGTAAAACTAAAAATGCCATCCAGTTAGAAGTTTAGTTTTTTGGTTGCCAATTTCTTGTAGCAATAAATGACAATAAACTGACAATAAACCTTATAAAATTGAAAACCTTCAGTCGCCTTTATTATAAGAGTGTATAACTCGTCAGTAGTGATTGTAATGTCCAGCAATGGTCAGTTTTTAGGTACAGTTTGACCATTCAACATCTGGTCAAAAAGGAGACACAAGACTGTATGTGTCCCCTTTAAATTGGCCTGCCTTCATCTCATCAGCTGGAACTCAGTCTCAGCAGCTCTAAACACAGATAATGACATGTCAACAATAGCACAGATAATGACATGTCAACAATAGCATTCTCTCCTCAAAGTCCAATCTTTCAGGTCTTCATGCCTCCATATAGGGAACACTCCAGCTCGGATCAGTTGCTAAGTCAAAGAATGATTTCCTAAATCAGATGTGATCTTCTACAACTTATAAAATAGATAATCATTAAATAAATGTTTGTTTATTGCTACTTATAATAATTTATAATATAATGAAATGCCTCATTAATCTGTGCTCAATGACTGAAGTGTGAAATGAATGTTATGATTATGATTACAGTGATTGAAATATGTTTCAGCATGTTGATGTGACAAGATCACCATTTGCACTCACACAAGGACAAAATAAGGTTAAGTTAAACTCTGACACATAAATAGTCTTTTTCCCCAGTCAGAGCCTCCATATCAAAGAAGGCGTGTTTCTGAGTTTCTTGGTAACATTCCTCAAACCTGTCAACCTCTGTTTGGCTACACAAATCATAACATGAGAACATCAAAACTGGATCACTCTCGGGTGATCTCTCAGTTATAGAGAAAGCTTCAGACCGGCCATCTGAAGCAAAACCCTCTTTAACCATCACAGCTTGACACTTCGTCAAAATCTTTTTGCACCTGCTAAGCTGATACAGAAACAGTTCCTGCAGAACAAGCTGATATTGTTTAGACGCCTTAAGAGTCCCAGACGCGCGGTTCCATCCGTTTCTTGTGACCTAGAGACAACTCTTAAGACCGGTTTAGTGGGGTCGCAGTTTCTTCTACAGACCTCGGTGCCTGGAAGTCCGAGGACTTCAACATTCCGGATCTATCACGAGGGTCTTCGAGTGGGTATGTAGACATGACAGATAGCGCCTGATGTGTTTTGATAACAACCACCTTCATAGCTTAACGCAAACCAAATTCTTTTACATCCAGAACTCAGCTCTCCTAAATAAGGAAGTTCTGACTAACATCGCATTCACACATAGGTTTCATACATCACATTTAGTTCCATCCATCACAGTAAATGTTAGTTAACTTGTCATGTTTTAATTGTTGGTAAAATAAATTCTTACTTTTATAAACCTGAATATTCTGACTCAAAATGAAGTGTGTACAATTCCTTAATAAAGAAAGAACCCTAGATCTTCTGATAAACACAGTAGACCAAGCAGAGTTGAGATTCTATATTTAGATAGAGTATCACAGCTTATTGGTCACAAGTAGAGGTAATATATTATATATATATATATATTATATATTAATATATAAGATATTGAGCTCTTAAAGCACTCAATTTACCAAACCCTACAATACGTCGGCATCAATATCAGTATCGGTGGATGTTAAGTCATTTTTCAACATATAGGTATCGGTACGAAAAATAAAACCAGGCTGATATTTTTTCCATCTCGTCTCCATTTGTTTGCCTGTTTCAGAGGGTGAGGGGGGTGGTGTGTATTTGTTTAGTTATGTCAACAGTGAAAGTAATAATCTCAGAAGCGTAAATGTGTGTGGTGTGTGCACAATGTAAATTGAGCTTTAATAATTTTCATTTTGCTGATTTTAGAAGCATTAATGTCAGCATATTGGTACCGGCAAACATCGGTTATCGGCCATAACAGTTATATTAATAGCGAATATAGGTATTGGCCCAAAATTTCATATCGGTACATCACTACTCCTCAGTTTAAGTTTTACTGGTAGTATCCTGGTTGTTACAACCCCTGCTAATGGATGAAAACAAGAACCCATCCTCTTGGGGGGCTGCTGTGCCAGTGCAACCAGCTGATTGGCAGCTTCAGATGTTTCTGTCGACGCCCTTCTACTTTATTATTGGTGTGGATTGGCTGCACCTGTGCAGCTAAAAAAGACTGCTAAGTGCAAGTTGGAGGGATTCAGGAGGATCAGGAGTTGAGGCTGATCAGAGGGAGTGCCTTTGGGAGCTCTTGTCTGTGTGGCATTTTTGGTGAGGCCTTTTGGAGGCTTGGTTTTAATTTAAAAAGTATATACTCAAACATTAACCTTGTGTCCAGACCTCCTCCTTTTGTTGCAGTCCCACGAGCTGGGTTGTAACCATCGACATACAAATATTGGACAATGGGTTTCCATAGACTCCAATAACATGTTTTTGAAGAAAAATGGGAGGTGGCCACCACCGCCATTTTGACTGTGTCACAGGCTCCGTCAAGCACAGACCATTCCACAAAAGGGAAGAGAGGTGGAGCTGAGGTTGGTGCTGTAAGGCTGGGATCAACTGACGACACCTGGTCGAACTAGCTACAAGCTAACCTGAAGCTAACCCAAAGCTAACGCGGAGGTGGGAGCTAAGCTAACGGAGGTAGCAACCTAGCTACAACCGGAGTTAACTGTGCACAACACCAGAGCTTCTGAGTCAGAGATACGCCGGGCTGACCGCTGGGTAAAACCGGGTGGAACACAGAGGTCTCCGAGAGCTCCACAAGCCGGCAGCCGCACAGCAGACAAGCACCGCTGCAATCTGAGATGCGCAGAGCTGCCGCTGGGGAGAACCGGGTGGAAAGGTTTCCATCCCAGAGCTCCACAAACCGGCAGCCCTCGCAGCAGACAGGAGCCGCGATCAGACAGAGATGCGCCGAGCTGCAGGGAGGGGAGAACCGGGTGGGAAACATCGGTCTCCCGAGAGCTCCACAAGCCGATAGTCGGAACCCAGCTCCACCAACATGTTTTATTTCAACCCACTTTCTAAAGTACAGCATTATGTTAAATGCACTGGGTTTTACCCTATTACATTTAAATTTCATGGTTAAACAGTACATGTTAAAATCTAAGCTCAGCTTGGCAGTGACCTAAAATACATAAATATAATTTTACTTACCGAAAAAAAAATGAAGTGGAGACTCCTTGGACGCTCTATTAGTGCAATTAATGCCACATCAAGTCATTTTGTCCAACAATTGCACAAAAAATATCCAAAAAAGAACGCACAAATGCTACAACTAATGGTCTAAGTTGAGAGACTGAAAATGACCCAACAGTTTTCACGCGAGGCTGAGGCTCAGTCTGAGGCCTTTCCCCGGAGCTAGCTCTGCGGTCACGTGGGTCGGATGCTCATTAATTATACAGAATTTTAGGCTTTTAATACACTTAAACAGAAGAGTGAGAAAAAAATTCACCCCCCTCAGAGTTGTCACGAGTGTAAACTAGATCATTTAAACAAAAAACATGGTTGGGAACAAGGCTGTAAACATGTTTATTTCTGCTGTGAAGTTGGTATTTTTGACATGGGAGTCAATGAGGATTTGCTCGCTTCTGACACCAGCCCCCAGCAGATGAGGGTGGTACTGCAATTAATTTCATTTCCGCGTTTGCTTCAATTTTTCACCTGCATTATGGGGGCTTGGTTGTAACACTGGTACACAGTAACATCAATGCTCAGTATGTATCAAAACTCAGTATGTGTTTAATACTTGTGCAATACCAGATTTACATAGTATGTCTCTGTCCCTCACAGTATGCTGCGTAGTTCAAGAACCCAAGTTCTTCATTTTTTATTTGTGGATTTTGGCGGTCGAAAGTTACAATACTAGATAACTGCCTATGTACATATACGTATACACATGTACCTTTCTTATTATTTTTCTTCACATTATTCCCTTGTGTTGGTGCTGCTGTAACAAGTGCATTTCCCCACTGTGGGTTCAATAAAGTCTGTTAAGATATTGCTTGTAAGCACTGTGTAATACATATAATGAGAAACACA